GATGCAGGCCTGTAATCCCACTAACCTAGAAGGTTGAGACAAGAGGATTGCAAGTTCTAGGCCAGCTTCAGCAACTTAGTGAGATCCTCTATCAAAATAAAAAACAAAAAGGGCTGGGAAGCTGGGCATGGAGGCATATAATCCCAGAAGCTTGGGAAACTGAGGCAGGAGGATCTCAAGTTCAAAGCTAGCCTCAGCAAAAGTGAGGCACTAAGCAATTCAGTGAGACCCTGTCTCTAAATAAAATACAAAGTAGGTATGGGGATGTGGGTCAGTGGTCAAGTGCTCCTGTGTTCAATCCCTGGTACAAAAAAAAAAAATGGTTAAAATTATAGTAAATAAATAAACCAGTAACATTGCTGGGAGCCATTAGCCAAGTAGGTATGACAATTTCCTTGCCAGCGTACCCCATGTTGCAGTGACATTGAATGTACGTGACCTTGCTCAAGGACCAAGGCGGATTAGGGCGTTCCCGGTTTAGGTTCCAGGTTTAAGGTTTAAGATTATTCCTGCTGGGAATAGGGCGTATCCTGCTGCCTGAGTTCCCCTTGAGTTCTCAGGGGATTCAGACAGTATATTTTGGAGATAGAAGCCCAGTGGAGGTGGATTTGGGCAGAGAACGTGGATTTCCCCAGAACGTGATTGTAGACGGCTGGTGTGAGTTCGGGAATAAAGAGTTGCTGTTTGAATCTACAAGCTGTGTGGTGGCTCGTGATTGTGTGCCCAGCCAGACTGCGGCATTTGTGCCCAGCCAGACTGCGGCAAACATAATTTTTTATTATCAAGTATTTGGTTCTGTATATAATTATATGTGCTGTACTTTCATATGACAGGCAGCAGAGAAGGTTTATTTACCAACATCACAACAAACCAGTGAATAATGCATTGGACATGATATTACAACTGCTACAATGTCACCAGGCACGGGAATTTTTCACTTCCATTATAAACTGATAGGACCACTGTCATATATGTGTTTTGTTACTGAAATAAAATGTAGTTATGTAGCACATTACTTTATATTTTACATGTTGTACACCATTACTACTAGATAATCTCAGAACATTTCCATCACCCCCAAAAAATCCCTGTGCATACTGGCCGTTAGTCTCACTCCTGTCCCCACACTTATCCACTGAAAATTCTTATCTATTTTCTTTATCTATGGATTTGAAATTTCACATAATAGGATGCAGCTTTTTGCATCTGGCTTCTTTCACTTAGCAAGTTTTCAAAGTTTATTCATATTGTATACCATGCAACAATATCTCTTCCTCTTCCTCCTCCTCCTCCTTTTTTACTGGGATTGAACCCGTGAATGCTCTACAACTGAACTACATCCCCAGCTCATTTTTTTTTTAAACAGAGTCTCACTAAGTTTCCCGGGCTAGCCTTGAACCCCTGCCTCAGCCTCCCGAGTAACCAAAATTACAGACACGTATCACAGAGCCCAGTAATTTCATTCTTTTCTATGACTAAATAATATACCATGGGCTGGGGGTGTGGCTCATTGGTAGAGCACTTGCCTAGCATGTGTGAGGCCCTGGGTTCCATCCTCAGCACCACATAAAAATAAATAAATAAAATAAAGATATTGTGTCCAACTACTTCTAAAAAGTAAATATTTTAAAATAAATAATATTTTTAGTTCATTCATCAGCTGATGGACATTTGAGTTGTTTCCACTTTCTGGCTATTATAAACAATGCTGCTACAAACATTCATGTAAAAGTTTTTGTGTCGACATATGTTCTCAATTTTCTTCACTATAAACCTAGGAGCAGAATTGCTAGGTCAGATGATAATTTTGGTTTTGATTTTTTAAGGAACTGCCAAACTGTACCAGTTTACATTCCCACCAACAGTAAACCAGAGTTCCAATTTCTCCACATCCCTATCAACATTTGTTATTTTCTGCTTTAAAAAAATTATTATTATAGCCATCCTGGCACATTTGAAGTACAATTTCATTGTGGTATTGATTCTCATGTCATTATGTTGAGCATCTTTCTATACATTTTTTGATAATCCCCTTTATTCTCACGCAGTACATTCCAAAACTCCCCAGTGGCTGCATGAAACCAGAAATAGCACTACATGAAACATATATATTTTTTCCTATACATACATATCTATGATAATGTTTTTAAATTAAGCACATTTAGAGATTAACAATAACAGGAAAATTATATCAATATATTGTGATAAAATTTTTTTATTTTTAAAATGATGTAAGACAAAGGGATGGGGCTGTAGCTCAGTAGCAAAGCACTTGCGTAGCATGTGTGAGGCACTGGGTTCGATCCTCAGCACCATATTAAAAAAAGTAAACAAATAAAATAAAGCATTCTGTCCATCTACAGAATAACTTTTTAAAATAATTTTATATTTTAAATTTATAACTTATAATTTATAACATAATTTACATTTATAATAAATATCATTATATTTATAATTTATAACTTTTTTAAATAATTCTGAAATTATTTCAAAATAAAAAATAGAACTTTGTTCAAATAATTATTGTACTTCAAAGTGCTGTATCTTAAACGTTAGACATTTATTGTAAAGCAGTGACAATTTTTTACCATTTTTCTCTGAATCAGTACCAGTTTAGTATGACACAATAAAAACAATTTCTTGATGCTTTAAAAAAAAACTTATAAAAACTTTCAAACATGCAAAAATAAAATAATGAACCCCTTGAACTCACTACCCAATTTTAACAATTATCCTCCCCATATTTGTGGTGTTTATTTATTTTCTGGTCTTTTTCCCCCCTCTGGAAGCAAATCTCAGATAAGTAATTTCATGGTTAAAAGTTTTTCTTTAAATGAGTTAATCATTTTAATACCTAATAAAATTAACAATTCCTAAATATCACTGAATTCCCAGTTCTTTAAATTTTGGTCATTGTCTCAAAGTTGGTTTGTTTGAATCAAGATCATATGGTACATATTCAATTATGTATCTTACAACAGTCCATAATAGTCCACGGTACTTCCCCTCTGGTTTTATTCTGTTGGACAAATTAGGTTATCTGTCTTGTGGAAGCTGATTACTTCTTTTTGGTGTCTGGGGTTTTTAAAAAAATTTGTTTCAAGGTGCTTAGGATTGAACACAGGGCCTCTTGCATTGCTAGGCAAACACTGTACCAATGAGGAACATCCCTAGCCCTGGTGTTTGTTTCTTTTAACTTATTTTTCAAGTCCCTATATTTCCTATAAACTGTGGCGAGATCTAAGACTTTCTTAGCTTTGATATCAAGAATACTTAATAGGAACGCTTGTAATCCCAGTTACTCTGTAGACTGAGTCAGGAAAATCTCAAGGTGGAGGCAATCTTGGGCAACTTGAGAAGAAACTGTCTCAAGAAAAACAGTGGGGATGTAGCTCAGTGTTAGAGCCTCCCTGAGTTCCATCTGCCATTAAAAACAAACCAACCAACCCTTCATAGGAGGCCCTGTAGTAGATGTAGTAGAAAATACATCATATCATGAGATATTACATAACTGGTTGTCTTATCTCTCCCCTCTCCCCAACCCCACACTACAGGAAATTGAACCCAAGAGGTTCTACCTCTGACCTCTAAGAGCTGCATTCCCAGCCTTTTTAATTTTATTTTGAGCCAGGTTAGCCTTGAACTTGCCATCCTCCTACCTCAGCCTCCTGACTGGCTGGGACTACAGTTGCACCATCACATCTAAATGATGATCTCACTTTTAATGGTGCTAAGATTGATCAGAGATTTAAAAGGATCAGCTTAATTCCCTTATAATAAAGTTCACCATCTTTCTTTTTAAGTAGATGTCATATATATGTATCAACAACAGACACAGTCAAATGTTGACATCCTATCCAGGGGTAAAAATCTTCACAATAATGTTCCATTATCCTAACATAGAACTATAGTTGAAGGTCCATGTCAGCCCTGTTATTGCAAAGCATTATGGGGGAAAAAGGGGTTTTTTAAAAGAGGAAACTAATGTTTTTAAATTGCATTACACAAGTAAAGCTCAAAATCATTTCATAAATTATGACTGGGAGCTAAGCGCATAGTTTGGGAGGTCTTGATTATGAAGCTTTAAAGAAATATCTAGGGGGCTAGGTTTGTAGCTCAGTGGTAGAGCACTTGCCTAGCACATGTGAGGCACTGGGTTCGATACTCAGCACCACATAAAAATAAATAAATAAAATAAAGGTATCATGTCCCTCTACAACTAAAAATATTTTGAAAAAGAAAGAAAGAAATATCTAAGTTGCAAGAGACTATTTGAAAGCTGGTGGTGTAGTTGAGTGTCAGAGTGCTTGCCTAGCAATTGCAAGGCTCTGGGTTTTATCCCAGGCCCGCAAAAATAAATAAGTAAGTAAATGAATAAATAAATAAATAAGGTAAATCAGGAACTAAGCATTATAACAAATAAAATTGATTAGGAGGGACTGGAGGCAGGAGGAATGAGACAAGAAACTGTGACTGATAACCCCATTAGTGCATATATTACTTCGACAGCATTACAAAGGGCAAATGATGAAGAAAAGTAGTAGCTGAAAACATCCAAAAATAAAACCTATTAATTAGATACATTATCTACATATATATAAAATTAACAATTCCTAAATATCATTGAATTCCCAGTTCTTTAAATTTTGGTCATTGTCTCAAAGTTGGTTTATTTGAATCAAGATCATATGTACATATTTAATATACATAACATTTTTTTCTATCCTCTTATATCAGTATCCACGTGGACAACATTCAAAGGAACTGAGGTCAATAAAAGCTGATGACTGAAAATCTTCAAAGGGGTGGAGGCGTTAGAGCCAAGGCTGGAGTTTGGAGGTCAGCGCTGGGGAGACGGTTCCAAAGCGCCCAGGCTAGGAACACACACCACCCCATGCATTTTGCCGGCGGGGCAAACACAAAGCCTCGCGGGAGGCGGGGCTCGTGACGTCACGGAGACGCCCGCCCCCCCTTACGTCGCGCACTGGAGAGGCTAGGTTTCTGGGTGCGCGGGCGCCATTTTGCCGGAGCCTGCGACCGAGTGGGAGTGGAGTGGAGCGGCGGTTGTTGCCGACTCTTTCCTCCTCCCTACGGTCCAGTCAGCGGGTTGATCAGGCCATTGGCCCACAAGCCGAGACTTGTCTCTTATTTAGTTCTGGGGAGCGTCTGGCCGACATGAGTGATGTAGAGGAGAACAACTTCGAGGGCAGAGTGAGTACAAAGCCGCGGGAGCCGTCTTCGGCGGCGGCCCGATGCTCGGGGTTTTACCGGGACTAGCGCGGTCGGGCCGGGTTGCGGGGAGTCCTGCGGGGCCCGCGGGGAGCAATCTCTGGAGCCATCGCGAGTGATTTCTCACATCCCAAGATGGCTTCTGGGTCCACTCCTTCCCCAAACACTACAATTACCTCCCTCCCCCCTTTTTTGGAGACTGACTGGTACCTGGACTCCTGTCCTATCCCAACCTCCACATTGCACCCTCCCTTCTCCCCGCCCCGAGGCTTGCTTATTTCTTTCTGAGGAGGGTCCCCGTCGCGGTGGGGTGGGAGGCGGCGGCAGGGAGTTCCCCACCCCGGCCGGATAGTGGTAGGTGCTTCCTGCGGTAGCATATCTGGAGACTCCCGAGCATCGTAGAGGGTCTCGGGGTCGAAAGTGCGCGGGGCTGTTGTCCGGGCGGGGAGTAGCTGGCGTGGGACTAGCTGGGGCCTGTGTCTCCTTGGCTCTCTATTGCAGTGAGCGGCCGCGTCTCTGTTGGAACCGGCGGCGTTGCGTCTATAAAGGCGAAAGCCTTGAGGTTGAAGGTGGGACGAGCCTAATGAAGTGGTTAGTCAACGACCGCACCGACCCTTAAGCGTTCTTAAGACGAGAGCTGTGAGGGGAAAACTACGCAAGGAGCCCTTTTCCCTTAATGACCCTTTTTAACTTTGCTTTCACTTCAAAATTAATGTGGAAATGCTATAACGACTTATTTTTTCTAATTCCTTGATGTTGGATTTTTTTTTTTCTCTTTATATCTCAGCTTCTAATGCTTTTCTTCCTTTGACCTTTCATCTAAAAATTGACCACTCCTTTGCAGGTTTTTATGGTAAAAAAAAAAAAATTAAGAAGGAATTTTCTTTCTTTAATCTTACATAACGAATTTCTGGCTCAGTATTTTAAAAATAACTAGTCAGTTTATACTGTTCTCTTACTCAAAAGGTTACCTGAAAATTACAGGCCCACTTCACATTTCTCTTCTCACCCCTCCCCCAGGAAGAGAGGGCACAGAAGAAGGTTTTAATTATTTGGGGTCGGATGAATATAAACATCACAAAGAATGCATTATCCTTAACTTAGGATAAGTGCTAGAACGTGTATATCAGTGTTTGAGTTTTATTTCGGAAGTTATTGATGTAGGGGAAATTGGTGGAAGTGAGTTAGTTGAAATCTGAAAAGAAAACAAAAGCCCAGGCAACACGTTTCTGCTGTTGTGTTGGTATTTATTCTAGTCACTAGGGGAACCATTAAAAAAACACTTGAGGGCTGTGCTGGATAGAATCAATTTGTCCTTTCTGTGGAAGTTTAGTATAGAAACACCTGGAATCAGTCAAATCAAAGCTGATTAAGAGATTTAAAGCAATAGGGTAGAAACAAAGCTACATTTGAGATTAGATTTTTTTTTTTAATGAAATTTGGAGCATGGATATAATTGAACCTGCTCATTTTTTAGGGTGATAGATTTAGTGTCTCATAAGAAATGCTTAAGATCATGCAATAAAAATATTGGTAGTAGTTGTGTTTCTTGTTTGAAAATGTTCAGATATGGAAAAAAATTTTATTGTCCATCTTCCTTTCAATTAACTTTAACAAAAAAGTGCTTGTTTTAATTTGGTTTGTGGGATGTGGGCTACTAATGGGACCTTGATTTCTTTAGTTCTTTTTAATATGTCATCTAGTGGAGGAGACTGTTCTACTGTCATGTTACCCACCTATAAAAGTAACATGGGCTGACATTAACATTTATTTAATGGAAAGAGTAGGTTTGCTTTCCCCCCTCTCTTCTTGGTTATTTTTGGTTATAAAAAGTATTTTTGCCCTCCTCAGGGCACAGTGACACATGCATGTAAACCCAGCAACTTAGGAAGCTGAGGCAGGAGGAGTTTCTAGTTCAAAGCCAACTTTAGAAATTTAGCAAGACCCTGTCTCAAAGTAACAAGTGAAAAGAGCTGGGTATGTAGCTCAGTGGTAAAAGTACCCTGGGTTCAATCCCTAGTACCAAAAAAAAAAAATGTTTTTTCCACAAGTGTAGTTTAATGTAAATTAAATTAGTAGATTGAATAATTTCCATGTTCACCTGTTACGTCTTTTTGCATTTTGTTTTTTGAGCTTTTTAGGTTGAGGTGATTTATATGTAATTGGTTGAAGAATTAGAAGAATGGGCTGGATGGTGGTACATGCCCGGTGACTTGGGAGGCTAAGACGGGAGGATCCCAAGATCCAGGCCAGCCTTAGCAACTTAGCAAATCCATATCTCAAATACTACTACTACACATAATAATAGAAGAATGCTAGAAGTTTTTCTGGAGGATTACTCCCCCTCCCCAACAGCAGTTTGGCATTCATAAGTGAATTTGATTTTTTTTTTTTTTTTTTAACTATAGTGACCTTTTTCGGCTGACTATAAACCAGCAGTTTAAATTTTATATATAATAAACTGTTGTGTCCTTGTGTTTGCAGCTAAAGATGTCTAAAGGTAACAGCACCCTGGTCTAGAAAATAATTTTTAAGTGAGGAGCCAGGCATGGTGGCACACACCTGTAATCCCAGCAGCTCAGGAAGCTGAGGCAGGAGGTTCTCAAGTTCAAAGCCAGCTTCAGCAAAAGCGAGGTGCTAAGCAACTCAGTAAGACCCTATCTCTAAATAAAATGCAAAATAGGGCCCGGGTGTGGCTCAATGGTGAACTGCCTCTGAGTTCAATCCTGGTATCAAAAAAAAAAAAAGAAGAAGAAGAATTTTTAAGTGAGGTGTGTAAATAGTTGTCATCCTTTAAAAAAAAAATTTTAAACCATATTAGTAAAAACATTGAAAGGTCAGTTTCACATTTTAGGGTTATCAGAGGTGTTTGTGGAGATCATGAGTCAAATTTGAATTAATGTTTTCCTCACTGTAGGAGTTTTTTAGCACTAATAAAGTGCATTTTCATTTAGTTTATCAACATTGTATAGGATACATATTAATTCCATCTCAGTAAAAAGATGTTTAGAATTAAATGGAAACTTTCTAGATATTACGTTCTAGCAAGCATACTGGGGAAGTGGGACCGAAACTAGTATAGCTTACTTTTTTTTGTAGCATTTTAGAATTTACCACCCCAAAAATCTTTAATGCATTTTCTGTGTTTTACTGCTCATGATAATCTTGCAAGGACTGGAGTAGTGTCAGCATTTTAGAAATATAAAACTGAGACCCAGGGGCTGGGGTCATAGCTCAGTGGTAGAGCGTTTGCCTCACACTTGTAAGGTACTGGGTTTGATCCTCAGCACCACATAAAAAATAAATAAGTAAAATAAATAAAGATATTGTGTCCATCTTTAAAAGAGAGAGAGAGAGACCCAAAAGACTGCAGTCAGGAATCTGAGATAAGTACTAGTCCACTATTCATATAAACACATTATGCTGTATATATTTTGGTTAACATTTGTGAAGAACACAATATGCTTCAGTGTCTCAGAGCCATTAATGGAGTTTGCCAAAAGCAGTTACTACAGCTTAATTTTCCATTTTAAATTAATGTTTCTTCCATTTTAAAGAATACAGTTAAAGAACTTTAGGGAGGAATTCCATTTTAAGTAATCCAAGGTAAAACTTGTTTAGAGCATCTGCTGCCTTTCTAATTAGGGCTAGCTAGGTGTTCTTGAGGGAAAGTGAACTTGAAGTCTAATTTGAGATGACTGACCATTCAAATCTGGGTAAAAGTAAGTGGTGTCTGATAGAATTAATAAGGAATTCAGAAAAGGAGTCAAGAAATGGGAAAGATTTACTTTGAGATATAAAACTTCCATTAGGTCTTAAGATTAGAGAAATTATTATTGATTATATAGGTATGCTAATGGATATATAGGTATGCTAATGGAGAGATTGTGCTAAGATAGTGAAAAAATAGATTTGAATAAATATGCAATCAAAAAGATTCCTAAAGGAATTTGCTTGTGACATGTAATTTAAGTTAATATTTAAGTGGAAATGTCCTTTGGAGTTGGGTATAAGATTGACATTTAAGCTGTGGTTTAAAGACTCCTAGAGCCCCCCACAGCCACCTTTTCAAAACCCAACTACACTGACATTCTGGTATAGTTAACAACATAGTTGCATGAATTAGTTCCAGAATACCAGCTAGCTATTGGCTCCTGTTCTCCCAGCAACATAGCACTTGACCACGGTACAAGACAACCTAGGCAGCTGTCTACAACTGGAGTGGGAGTGGGAAGAATCCCTTATATCTCATCACATTGACTTGTTTTAAAAGGGTAAAGTTTCCTTCCTTGTAATATGGTAGTATTATTAAACAGTTTTATGTCTTGGGTTTATTTTTATAAAGTTGAGTACCATCAACTAAGGTGCTAACTTGCTCAATATAAGTAAAAGGCAGGATTTTGTAAAGGAGCATTGCAAGAAGTTTAACCCACGGTTCATAACTGTAATTTTTACAGTTATACCGTAGATTGTCTTATTCCTAAATGAGAATAGAGAGCCTTGATATTGAAAGAATATCAAGGGATTTAAATATTTAGGAATGAGTCTTTAAAAAAAAAAGACAAACTTTGTGGACGTAAATGAACCATACTTATTTACCTGTGGTATCCTAAAGTGTGAAACGGCTGAATATCAGCATAGGGTTTTTCTAAAATCTGCCTGACTGAAAACCTTTGATATTGATATTATCAGTGGGTACTCAGGAACCCAATAACTAGCCCTGAGGCCTTTGTAAAACATGTATATTCCCATATTGAGTGAATTAATATTGGTTGTTATTTGTTCATATGTTCTAACAGAAGATTTAGCTGGGCAGAAGTGGAAGTAAGACAATGGTAATAGTCAGATGAGGAAGAAAGAAATGCTGTAGAAAAGTTGAGAAAAGAATAATGAAAGGAAATGCAGTTCCTCTTCCCTCCTTTTAAGTTACTAATATATATAGTTGTGTATAATCCTTATTTTGTTGATATTCACCCAAAATATGAGTGACTAGAACTGATGTGAAAGAAAAGTTAGCTTTTCCTTGAAATCAGGGCCCAGTCATCTCACTTATTCAAGATTCATAAATACTCCATGATACCAGAAGATGAGAGCATAAGTAGAGAATATTGTAACAGGTTAGTTTGGGTTTAGTTGCTATTTATTGGCTTTTTTTAATGTAGCGAAATCACTTTAGTCCATAGAAGTTTTTCTCTACCTTTGAAATTGTCACTTATACATCAATCAGCTTTTAAAAATTACAGTTTATTGTGAAAATTTAGGAGATTTTATGAGCTTTATTTAAGATTTGTACAGAATTTTACAGGAAAATTCACAATTGTGGCATGAGTTTTATAAGTGGCAATTACTAAATTATTTATGATAAAATATTCCCCAAATTATTCCAAACTTTTGAGAATGTGTAGACATGCAATTTTAGAATATATGTCAGCCTTTGCAGATTGAGGCATCAACCTCAGAATGCAGTAGACAGGTATGATCTTAAAGGGAGGGAAATTATTATTTGAAATTAGATAATATGAGTAATCTGTTTTCTTTTTAAGAGATTGCTCTAATAGGGCTAGGTTTAAGAAGAAACCAGAAGTATTTTATCAGCCTGACAATCTGTAAAAGAAATACCTTATCGTACCCTAGAACTGTTATTTCTGGGGGCTGAAAAAAATAAAATTGAGAAAAATACAAAAGATTTCTTACAAGTCCTGAAGAATGAAGTTGTTAGTATAATATTGTAAGGTATTTGGGTAATTAAAGTGTATTCTGTCTTCTGAGGACACATAATTTAAATTCATCAATGTATTTCTATGGAAATCTCCAATTTTATAAAGTAGAGGGAAAATATTGTTAGAAAGTTTGTTTTACACCCATAGGCATGCATTTGTGTAAATTTGGCATTATTATCTGGCTAATATTTGCCTGGCCTTAATATTGGAATGAGTTTATAGTATGATTTTTTTTTTTTTTAGTTTATTTTTAATGAGTATTAAGTGCTAAGCATGTAGATTTTGTTGGAATATTTTTTTTCCCCATCTATAATATACTGGCTGAATTAAGGACTATTTTTTTGCAGTAGGAATTATTCTTATCTGGTGATAATTTGTGCATATAACAAACACCAAAACAAAACCTTTTCAAGTGGGTTGTTTATAGTATGTAAGGTAGACTGGGTATCCTATTTAAGATGCTTGTTAAAATTTGTGATATTAAACGAAAAAATGTTGATTGATTCAGTGATTGTTGGATAAGCCAGATTACTGAGGAATTCATTGAATTCCTTGATGAGACGGCTGTAAGAACAGGTTAGTCTAACGAAAGGGGGAAGATATTACCCCTTCCCATCATTTATTTATTTGTTTTTGTTTTGTATTTGCAGCTCTTAAATTTAGCTTCCAATTTCTAAATCATTTTATAATTTTTTTTTTTTAAGTTGAAATTAGCAAGGCATAATGGCGCACACCTGAAGCCCCAGCAATTTGGGAGGCTAAGATGGAAGAGTCTTTTTAAGCCCACAAGTTTGAGACCAGCCTTGCCAACATAGTGAGACATCATCTTCTCAAAAAAAAAAAATGAATAAATATTGAAATTATTTCATTATGAAGACAGGTCAAAGATAGAAGACAAAAACTAGATAATCCTTTTCTATGAAGGACTTAACTAAAGCTTGATTACTAATTCAGAGTTTAATGAAAATAGCATTTATTTGGTAATAGTATTTGAAAAATGTTGTATTTAAATGATAAATACTAATATGACCATCTTTCAATAATAATTAATGAGCCATATTTTGGTATACTAAAAGTGTCTAAAGAATTGTTGTTTTGAACCTAGCAGTTAATTCTGTAGGTTAAGATTACTGATAGTTGAAGGATATAGGAGTTAGAGCGTGACTATTTCTTAACCTTGGATGAATCCATGAAGAAGCTCATTCAAAGTTAGATTTTGTGGAGCTGAAAGGGTAGACAGCAAAGGAGGTGAGGTATTGGTGACACCCTAAATGATAAACAGCAAAGCTTCTTTTAACATTTGTTGATGTCGGGCTGGAATTGTAGCTCACTGGTAGAGCACTTGCCTAGCATGTGTGAGGCCCTGGGTTTGATTTTCAGCACCATATATGAATAAATTAAATAAAAGTCCATCAACAACTAAAATAATAAAATTTTGTTGATGTCTTTTTAAAAGACATCCTGTCAGGCCAGGCATGGTGACACACACCAATAATCCCAGTTTACTGGGGAGATTGAGGCAGATCACAAATTCAAGACCACCCTGGGAGACTTAGCAAGATCCTTTCTCAAATTTTGAGAAAGGACTGGTGGTGTAGTTCTTGCAATGGAGCACTTAAGATAACACTGAGTTACCTTGTTCACACTAATTTCTGAGAAATAATTTTCAGCAACTGTTAATTATGTTTATGAGAGGAGACTTGAAAGTCATAATTGCACATATTTGGACCATTATGTTTTTGTCATGTTCTAAAAAAACTTCAAATAAACCTTTGGTTTTAATGTAAGAATTTTTATTTCTGTCATGGCAAAGTTAAAAGTTTAAGTGCCTTTCAGTTTAAAGCCTTCTAATTATACATGTTATGTATTATAAAAGCTGTGGTGATGTTTGTAGATACAATTCCCAGCCACTGCTGTTCAGTGTAGCATAAATGAATATTATGTCAGAGGGTCTGTTTTATAGAAGGAAAAGCCGAAGATATTCTTATCAGTTTAGTTACTGAACCCACCTGTGAAACTGTAATTACAAGCAAATTAGCCATGCCTTTTTCTATCTTTCTTTGTTTGTTTCTTTTTAAAGCACTGAATATGCTGCTCCAAGCATCTGTCCCGGAATTTAGAGAGTATCTAAAATGTGGTGAGAGACTTACTTTAGGTAGTTAAATGGGAAAGGTTGGTATTGAACAAAAAGTAGTTAATATTAGTTTTGTTTTCATATGGAAAAAAATAGGCCTACCAGCATTATTACAGTTCTGGATAAATAAGTCCTTGGAGGTAAAAGTTTTTAAGAAAGCTTTTTTTTAAAAAGTTGTGTCATAGTCAATATGGTATAAATGAAAATTGGTGTGAAATTGGAATAATTATTTATACATTAATAATCAGGCATAAATGGGCAGAGGAGCCAAATTGTCCATTATGTTTTAGTCATAAAGTGCCTAATGTTTGTCAAATAAGCTTTTAATCATTTATAAATAAATGTATTTGGAAAGTTTTGATTTACACCCAACTTTTCAGAAACCAGTTCTGCAATATAGGAAATATAGTCACCAAAGGATCTATAAGTATACATAATACATAAAAGCTGAATTTAAAAAAGGTAGAATCAAGCCAGGCACAGTGGCACAAGCCTGTCATCACAAGCCTGGCTTGGGAGGCTGATTCAGGAGGATCTCGAGTTCAAAGCCAGCCTCAGCAAAAAGCAAGGTGCTAAGCAATTCACTGAGACTTGTCTCTAAATAAAATACAAAACAGGACTGGGGATATGACTCGTGGTTGAGTGCCCCAAGTTCAATCCCCAGTTACCCCATCCCTACTCCCCCCCCCAAGGAAAGGTAGTATCAAAAATGATACAATTTTTGTAACTTGTGAATTTTTATATTTCCTGGAGAATATAGCATTTTAAAGTGGCACAGCTGTAAAATGCAAAATATATATTTTAGGGGTTTCAAACCAAAGAGGATAATTAAAATTTTTGCTTCCTCTTTCCCCTTAGTTTTTGCCATATATTATCTGTCTTCATAACCAGTCTTTCTGGTTAAATCAAAATAAGCAAAGATAGTAAAACAGAATTGGAAGGTGTTAGTAATTTTGCTGACTTTTTTGATTCCTTTGATCCTTTGGCATGTATGCTATAATGTATGAGTTTAGATAGTTGTGTACATCTATTTCAGCCTGGGATGCTTTACTTTAACAATATCTCGATTTCTTAGCATGACTTAGTAAAAGCGTATTCTAAGGTCAGTAAGAATCTTCAGGTTTAAAATAGCGGAAACTTAACACGTAGGTGGGGGGAAATTACACTTTATGTTAGATTTGTTTGAATTAAGTATTTATATTAAAATTGTTCACATTTTAGGTATTAGAATGAAACATGAAAGGGGAGGAGGGTAAAGAGATGGTTTAAAAAAACATTTAGAGAAATTCAGTAGATTCTCTTTGTTAGAAACTACACTTTTGAACAATTTTAAAGACTATAAAATTGCCTTTTTTTTTTTTTTTTTTTTTAATAAACTAGTTATTTGCACTTTACCTGCTGGCTTTTCCATTTGGTAGATAACATTCTGAACTCCAGCAGAGTTTTATAATCCCCACGTGCTTAAATATACTAAATGTTCTTTTTCCATTAAGGTTAATGTTCGTGAAGAAATTGAAGAGTTTTTTCCAAGAATGTGGAAGATAAATCAAGATAAAAGAAGGCTAATGAAAAGTATTAAAGATCAGAAAATTAAAATTGAATGGGGGAAAAAATTGAACAGAAGATTGGTCAGATAGAAGCACTTGAATATTTTTTTAAGGCTATTTTGAATTGTTTGAATTGGGGAAGAATACACGAAGTATGAAAAATGAAAAACTCAATGAAGAATGAAGAGAAGTAGAAAGCAAGAGTGAAGTAGAATTAAAAGAATCTGGAAGAATGAATGGGTCCTAGGTTAAGTAAATGTATGGTTTATGTTCCAGTGTCTGTATGATCAAGTTGTAGATGAATTTGCATGATTACTTAGTTAATAGAGAATTGGTGATCTGGTTCAAGTAGGGAATTATTGAGGACAGTTAGCAGTATTAACAATGGGTTATTAATGAGCTGAAATTTTTTTCTGGAGGGTGTTGCCTAACCATTTGTTTTTCAGGAGCAATCAATATAAAAAAAAAATTACGCTACATTAAATGTTAGGTGTTAGGCATCTACGGGACCAGTGCCATTTGTAATACTGTCTTCTTTGTTAGGAGTCTCGCTCTCAGTCAAAATCTCCAACGGGAACTCCTGCTCGTGTAAAATCGGAGAGCAGGTCAGGATCTCGTAGTCCATCAAGGGTTTCCAAACACTCTGAATCCCATTCTCGGTCAAGATCAAAATCCAGGTAAGTGTGTTTAAAATAAAGCCTCAGATGTTTTATGTGTGTTGGGTTTGGTTTGGTTTGGTTTTATGGCAAAGGGATTTTATGAAATTCTTCCTTATGGCTGCATTTTGAACAGAAATTTCACCAAAGGCTCATAAAATAGTTTTTCTCAGACTCTAGAATTTAGAAATTAATATTTTCTAGATAATTAAGAGTCTCTGCACAATTAATCTATTGGATAATAGCTATTAAAACAAATACATTGATTGACTTAAATGAACTTGAGAATCAGTGTATGGTTATATGCCAACAATATTTGGTGCAGCAAAAATGACAATTTTGAAGTTGTGTGAAGTGGTACACATCTATAATCCAGTAACTCCTTAGGTTGAGGCAGAAGGATCACAAGTTAGAAGCCAGCCTTAACAATTTAGTGAGGCCCTGTTTCAAATAAATAAAAACGACTCAGTGGAAAGCATTTCTGGGTTCAATCCTTCTTTTAAGAGAGTTTTATTCCACATACATATTTTATCTAAAGATTATGTATGACTCCTATGTTCAGGTTGAAACGCTGGTCCATTATAATTGGAGGGGGGACAACTCTAGATAATCAGAGACCCACCACTGACAACAAAAACTCTTAACAGACTACTGCAAAGTTCATGGTTTCACATGGCCCAGGTCAATTAGGCTGGAATTTTTTAAAAGCCTGGACAGTTGTTTGCTAAGTCATTTTTATTTCTGGAGTAAAGACATAGTTGTCTTTTAAAAGAGTCTGCTTGCAAAGGGGCATAATATAAAAGAATCATTTAAAAGGCTGCACTTTGGCAGGTGGGGTTGTGCATGTGGCCCAGTGGTAGAGCACTTGCCTAGCATGTGTAAGGCACTGGGTTTGATTCTCAGCATCACATATAAATAAATGAATAAAATAAAGGTCTATTAATGTCTTTAAAAAAAGAAAAAGCTGCACTTTTCTTGAGGTCAACAGCTGTGGTGTTTCCTCAGAAGTTTTATGCTTCTTAGTAGATTGTATTCTTTTGGTATTCTCTAAACACATCTCCATGTCTTTTGGTGGTGGTGGTATAAGACACTGAACCCAGGGGCACTTGAGATAGGGTCTTGTTAAAGTTGCTGAGGCTGGCCTTCAACTTGGGGTCCTTCAGCCTCAGCCCCCAGTTATCTACATAGGCAAATTCTATTAAGTCTTTCAGCTTTATTGCTTGCTTTTTTAGTTCTGTAAAAATCTTCCCTCATTTATTCCCTTCCTCCTTATGCTATGTTGGGGATTGAACTGACGGCCTCGTACATGCTAGGCAAGACCTTTACCACTGAGTTACATCCCTAACTTTTTTCAAAATTTCTATTTTGAGACAGGTTCTTGCTAAGTTGCTCCAGTTGACCTTAAACTTGTGATCTTTCTGCCTCAGCCTCCCAAACAGCTGGGATTACAAGCATGTACCACCATACCCAGCCTGTCCTTTTGCCATTTTTAATTTTCTGGCCCTTAGCATTTATAACATTTATGAAATATGTTATAGAAGCTATTTTGTAGACTGATACCACAGCTGGAAAGAAGGTAGAGTTTTACATGGTTGTAAGGTAAGGTGAAAGGGGTGAATCTAGAAGGGACAGACCAAAAGAAGGGAGGAGGTTGCGGTGATTTAAGAAAACAAGAATACCTTTTTCTTGGAGAGGACACAGGAGTAGAGGGACTAAGGGTGTAGCTCAGTGGTAGAACACTTGTTTGATTCCCTATGCCCCTTTCAAAAAGACAAAAGAGCTGAGAACAGGCATGGATATTTGTACACATCCTTGGAAAAAAGTATTGGCCATTTGTTCCAGTATTTTTACCTACATTTGTTTCTCTCAAAGGTCAAGGTCAAGAAGGCATTCTCATAGACGTTATACTCGATCCAGATCCCACTCTCACTCTCATAGGAGAAGATCTCGAAGTAGGTCGTATACTCCAGAATACCGACGGCGAAGGAGCCGAAGTCACTCTCCAATGTCTAACCGGAGAAGACATACAGGCAGCAGGGTATGTATGTATAAAAGTTAATGAAAACTTATTTTTCTCTTTCTTGAGTGTAATCATGGCATAATGTCTTCCTTTTATGAGAGATAGGAATTGTTTTAGAAATTGGTACTCCAGAAACATTCTTAACAAATTTAACTTTGGAAATAAAAGGAATACCTTTTATGTTATGGATATGCTAATAAAAGAAATGACACCATCATAACAAGCCTACATTTCATGATAGCTTCTATAATGGGGGTATAGTATCTTGATTTTTTTTTTTAATTTTGTTTTAATTAGTTACACATGACAGTACAGTGATCTTGACATACATTTGAATCAGATGGGGTATAATTTCTCATTCTTCTGAGTGTACAGGTTGCAGAATCACATTGGTCATACAGTCACGTATATACATACAGCAATAATAATGTCTATTTTATTCTGTTTTTTTTAGTTATTTTTAAAAAGATAAAATTTGGGGATAAATGAGCTCTAAGAATTAAAAATGAAAAGCATAAATGGTGAGATAATTAATGCAGAGTTTTACCATAATAGGGAGAAACCAAGAAAATATCAAAAGTTATTCAGTAGTAACAACCAACACTTTTATTTTCTTGTTAGGAAATGAGTAAATCTTGGATGTGTGATATTGAGGTGTTTTTGGTTTTGTTTGCTAGTTGACCAAACTCAGGTTTCAGTCAGTCTACACAGAATATGTCAGTATTTAATGATTAGAAATTTGTACTTTTAATTTTAAAATGTGGCTCATGGAAACATTGAAAGTAGTATATCCTTGCTACATAAAGAAAATGGGGACTGGGGCTGTAGCTCAGTGGCAGAGCGCTTGTCCAGCATGCATCAGGCACTATGTTCTATCTTCAGTACCACATAAAAATAAACAAATAAAATAAAGGCATTCTGTCCATCTACAATTCCAAAAAAAGAAAAGAAAGAAATGGAGACTTCTAAATTAGTAATTCCAAGTCAGATTAAATACTAACCCATCAGGGATATACAGGACAAATTCTTGGGATATGTTCTGAAAATTACTGGGCTAAAAGTAGAATTGTTTTTATTCAGGCTATGACTAGAAAGTATATTCCATAGAAAATCTAAATGCTCTGTGAACTGTAAAATGTGGTTCATCTGCTTTAGTTCCATAAAATTTTATTTCCAAATAACTAGAAACAATATATTCTATGTGAGGTAGGTGGGATGTTTGAAACAAAATATTTTTATTTTAATTAAAGCTTAATAACGTCTTTATCCAATAGGCGAATCCAGATCCCAACACTTGTCTTGGAGTTTTTGGCCTCAGTTTATACACAACAGAGCGAGATCTTCGTGAAGTATTTTCTAGATATGGACCATTGAGTGGTGTCAATGTGGTTTACGACCAGCGGACTGGACGATCACGGGGATTTGCTTTTGTGTATTTTGAGAGAATAGATGACTCAAAGGAGGTAAACTTGATTTTTTAAATTTTCATTTTGAGAAAATTTTATATTCATGAGCATAGTATTGATTTACTATTAAAAGTTAACTAATTCCCATTTCCGTAAACATTGTTTCTTCTCATATTCTAATTCAAACTCACCCTTTTAGTGTTACAATTAGAATAGCCAAAGTTTGACTTTTCCGCTTTTTCTGGTGTGTATATATATATATATATATAATCTCCTGATTGAAATCTGGCTTTGTAAACTGGGATGTATATTTTAAGTTAATGGAAAATGTAAAGTGTGTGTGTTTTTTTTTTGTTTTTAATAAACCACATTGAACAGATGATTAAATTGAGTGACATTTAAACTTATGTCTGAGCTAGGCGTGATGGTGCACACCTGTAATCCCAGTGTCTCAGAGGCTGAGGTAGGAGGTTCACAAGTTCCAGGCCAGCCTCAGCAACTTAGTGAGGTGAGACCACAAGAAATGATCCTTGTAATAAAAGCGGTAATAAGAACAGGTATATCTTTCAAAAATAATAGATGATATTGTCATCTAGTGCCTGTAATCCTGGCTACTTAGGAAGCTGAAGTATAGGATCAGTTGAGACCAGGAGTTTAATTTCAGCCTAAGTAACATATCAAGACCCTGTCTCAAAAAAAAAAAAAATCTATAATGCCAGAAATTGCGCCCTATAACATAGGATCAGGAGGCCCAAAATGTTAAGAGTGCCAGGGTAGAGAAACCTTTGATAATTTTAACTAAGGTAATACTTTAGTTCTCGAATATCTTAATTTGTCATTGTGCGGACTTTTTTGTTGTTATGTATTTGTGATTTGTTTTCCTACTCTCAAACAATAGAGGTATAAATTTAGAAATATTAAGATATGGGGCCTAAAATACAAAGTGCAAAACAAAAACAAATTTTTTTCCTGTGATAATTTTTTGTCTTAGCTTTTTTTTTTCTCCCTTTGGTTTATTTCTGGGTAAAATTAGAATGGCGATGTTACTTAGGTTCCAAAAACTTATTTCAAATATTTTCATTTGCTTAAGTGTTTAAAATATCATTGTAATTATTATCTTGGTGCTTAGGGCAAAGTGATGGGAATGTGAGCTCAGATACCAATGACTTTAGGAGCACTTTTTGGCAGGTTGATTTTCTTTATATTTGAAGTTCACTAGGTGGCAGTGTGTTGTAAGTCATGGCTTGGCTAATTAAAGATTGCTAGCTAAACTGCATTTTCTATTTTGAGTTGACCAGACTGAAACCAATTACTTCCAACCTCAGTTATACAGACTTCCCCTAGGTTGTGTGGTTTCTACTGTATGGCTGTGGCTGTCTCTACTTCTTCTGCACAGGCCTTCTGAAATGGCTTAGCTGAAATATGTATGCACAACAAAAACCAATGCTGTTGATAAACTCTTCACCCTTACTTGAAAGAAGAGCTTGGAAATTTCAGTTTTTGGAATTTAAAATAGAAAATGTTACATTTATTACAGTTTTGTTGTTTCAGAAAATTATTTATTTATTAAGATATAAATAATTGTTTTCTTAAGGTGGAGGGTTTTTTAGCCAAAAGGACACTTTCAAAGTTGTTCTTTTGAAAGATGAAACCAAAAGAGATATTACTTTATTTGTTTATTTAGTGCCAGGGATTGAACTCAGGGGCACTCGGCCACTGAGCCACATCCCCAGCCCTATTTTGTATTTTATTTCATTGCTTAGCACCTCACTTTTTGCTGAAGCTGGCTTTTATAAGTAGGAAGAATAGCTCTTTGAATCTTAAAGTAAAATATTTGTGAATTACATTAAAATCGTGTATCTTTATTGGTTTCTTCTCAGCAAGAGACTGAAAAGGTAGTACCATAAATGTGTGTGCTTCCATACCTTTAAATCTTCTTTATCAGCATATTGGACTGCAAACTGAAGAACAAGCAAAAAGGAAGTCAGGTGTGGTGGCACACACCCTATAATCCCAGCGACTTTTGAGGCTGAGGCAGGAGGATCAGAAGTTCATGCCAAGCCAACCTCAGCAACTTAGTGAGACCATCAAAATGAAAAACAAAATGGACTAGGGAGGTAGCTCAGTGGTTAAGCACCCCTGAATTCATTCCCCAGTTCAAAAAAAAAAAAAAACGGAGTAAAATCAGGTTACAGAGAAAATGTAGTTAAAACTTGGCCAACATTCTTAGTATTTTGAAGTCAGTCTTTATAAATAAATGTCTGAGGACTGAGGAAGTATGAAATGCAGCCTACCTGGGCAAGCTACAGAAAGTTTAGATTGAAAAGATGAACATGGAGTGGGAACTCAGACACAGACATTTGAGGGGAAGGTGTATTAACTTCTCTTTTGAGTAAATTTAAATATTTTCTGGACAGTTTTGAGGTCTAGAAATGTCAGAATCCCCTGCACTGCTGTGTTGTTTTCAAATTAGATGAGTTTATTTGGATTTCAGATAATTTTGCACTTAATTTTTAAGTAATTATTACTTCAAGGCCAGTGACTTTCTGTGCTTGTTCTCCTTTACAGGCTATGGAAAGGGCAAATGGAATGGAGTTGGATGGTAGAAGAATTCGTGTGGATTATTCTATCACTAAGAGAGCGCACACACCTACACCTGGCATCTACATGGGCAGACCAACTCAGTAAGATCTCACATTGCCTAGAGCTGAGACTGGGGCTTAGTGGTAGAGCATTTGCCTAGCATGAGACCCTGGGTTCAATCCCTAGTGCAGCAAGGGAAAAAAATTGTTTTTCATAAACTAAACTGTAAGAGCCAGAAATCTATGAGAAATGTGTGCAATCTTTGATTAATGAGGAAATATTTTTCCTGTCATTTAATTTACATACATTCTCAGAATTCTTTTAATATATTTTTAATATTTATAGTTTATTAAAATATTAATAAATATACAAATAAGCAAAATATGATGTTTATAAGCTATTGAAAATATAATTCTGGCTTTTCTCCTGGTCTTGTTCAAGAAGAACTTGTGTCTGTGTGTGTGTGTGTGTGTGTGTGTGTGTTTGTATTGTAGATTGACATAATTATCTTTATTTATTTTTTATGTGGTGCTGAGGTTCCAGCCCTTTACCATTGAGCTACAACCCCAGCCCCAATAAGAAAATGTTTAAGTATTAGAAAAATATTACATGTCTCTCTGTTCCTATGTGATCTGGGAAGCCTCTCTATATAAGGTTTATTTATTGATATTACTGTTTATTTAGGAAGAAAATATGGTAAAATCATAAATGATATGTAATTTATGTTTTGTAGATACGTGATGTTTATGTTACGGTGCATTGCATAGATTGAATTCAGTAGTAAATGGGCCAGGTGCAGTGTGCACACCTGTAAGCCCATTGGCTCAAGAGGCTAAGGCAGGAGGATTGCAAGTTCAAAGCCAGCCTCAGCAAAAGCAAAGCACTAAGCAACTCAGTGAGACCCTGTTGCTAAATAAAATACAAAATAGGGCTTGGGGTGTGGCTTAGTGGTTAAATGCCTCTGAGTTCAATCCCCAGTACCAAAAGGGCGGGGGGGGGGGGGAGAAAAGAAATATAAGCATTTGACCTCAAGGGTAGTTCTTAGCTGTCCTCCTTTCATTTTTTTTTTTTTTTCAAGCTGCTGATTTTTATTAAATGGTCCCAGAAAAAGGATCATTGACACTAAAGTGTAATGTTTTATATTTTTCTTTAGTAGTGGTGGTGGTGGCGGTGGCGGAGGTGGAGGTGGAGGTGGAGGTGGTGGCAGGCGTCGAGATTCTTACTATGATAGAGGATATGATCGTGGATATGACAGATATGAAGACTATGATTACCGGTACAGGTAATGTTTTAACTTTGAAATTTTTGTTCTAAGTTAGATGGCATCTCTATTATTTGGCACTTATGTGTTTGATCTGTATGAATAAAAAGTGAATGTTTGAGCTTGACTTAGCATTGGCTCCAGCTGCTTGGGAGGCTGAGATGGGAAGATCACTTGAAATCAGGGAATCAAGGCGAGACTGGGCAGCATAGTAAGACCTTGTCTTTAAAAAGAAAAACCAAGCTAGATGCAGTGGCATACACCCACAATCTCAGCAATTTGATGAGATTCTGTCTCAAAGTAAAAAAGAACTAGGGAGTGTAATTCAGTAGTAAAGCACCCCTGGCTTTTCTCCTGGCCCTGTTCAAGAAGAATTTTTTTTTTTTAATCCCTGGGTTTAAAAAAAAAAAAAAAGCCATGCATAGTTGGCACACTCCTACTCCCAAGAGTCTGAAGCAGGAAGAGGATCACAAGTTTAAGGCCAGCCTCTGCAACTTAGCAAGTCACTTATCTCAAAATAAAAAGGACTGGGGATGTAGTTTTGTGGTAGAGAACCCATAGATTCAGTCCCCAACGTCACAAAAAAATATAAACAAAAAACTCAGTGGCCCAGGAGGCTGAGACAGGAGGATTGTGAGTTCAAAGCCAGCCTCAGCAAAAAGTGAGGTACTAAACACAGACCCTGTCTGTAAAAACAATACAAAAAAATAGGGCTGGGGATGTGGCTCAGTGGCCAGGTGCCCCTGAGTTTAATTCCTGGTACTACCCCCACCCCACCCAAAAAAAAGAAGTGTAAATCATATTATTTTGAGACAGGGCCTCGTTAAATGGCTAGGGCTCACTATTTTGAGTGGTGGGGAATTTTTTTTAAAATTATCATCTGCCTTGGTAGAGTGTGTGTGTGGTATACTAAGTGATCTTTTATTTCTTACAGAAGAAGGTCGCCTTCTCCTTACTATAGTCGATACAGATCACGATCAAGATCCCGCTCCTACAGCCCAAGTATGTGAACTTTGCTTTTGTAGCATTAAAACCTCATTTCTAATTAATGGCTTATTATACAATATTAGGATTTATGTGGTAGCTGTTAATAGTTGGGAAAACATTAGGTAAGTCGAACTATAATTGTTAACATTTTTGTTCTTTCTCTTTCAGGACGCTATTGATAATGGAATGGTTGCAGTTGAGGACTTTTTTTCCCCCCCTTTCTCCTTCCCCTCTCTTTTATTCTGGAGTTTCCCAAGCTTCTGATTCTTCCTACTCCTTAAAAAAAAATCCTTGATTTATTTAGCTTCTACACTTTTTCAGTTGCATTGCTGTTTTCCACCCCTTTTATTATACTCTTAAAGGATGTAATTGTTGTCATTTTGAGTAGTTAAACACCTTGAGTAAAAAAAAGGAATCCAGTGTTAAGTTTTTGTATCATTTTTCTTTGCCTTTACAGAGGATTAACTCCTAGCTAATTATATGAGGAAAGAAATGGTCTTTTTAAAGCTTTCATGTCAGATATTGTATTAGACACTGTATTAGAGATCTACATTTATGAGGACTCCTTTTTTAACTTTTTTTGGGGGGGAAGATAGTAACATATGAAGTAGTTCAGTCATGTCACATTTGTCTGAGGTGGCATAGAACAAATAGTTGAGTGTAAAAAGTTTGAAGCTATAGAAGAAAACACTTGGACATTTCTTTTGAAGAATGTAATTTTTGAACCCTAAAAATTAAGATTACAAGCTTGTGGATTCCTACAAAACATGTTGTATTTGAAATACATCTGTTAAACTTTACAAACTTAAAGTGTGATTATTTTTGTGTGTGTGTTAAACTCATTGAGTTAGGTATATCCTTAATAAGTGAAAGACAACCCTTTATTTATTATTTAGAGCAATTGTATAGTTTGCTGTTAGAAATTTTGGTATTAGGACATTGGTTAAGCAGGCTCTTATAGGATAGAGTCCTTAGAAGATACATGTGGGAGAAAAGTAGTTTTCTTTCAAATAAAAGTTACTTCTTGGAAAACGGGATTGTCTCTTTATTTTGATACAGTGGAAAAATAAAACTGGATTGATATGGAACCAGTTCTTCCTTTTCTCTGCGTTCCCCTAATATGTATCCATACATAAAATTTTGCCCATTCTGAGTTAATTTCCTGAACACTCAAATGTGCAACACTTGTCTACTCTCTGATATTTTAAAACCCTTGTTTGTTCATTTTTTCTTTTGGTGAACCAGGTAGCAAATACTGAGTATTCAGTGTCAATATCTTGCTGTAGGAAAGATAAATAGTTCATGTCTGTTAAGGTTTTTGTTTGTTAGTTTTGCCAGTAAAGGATATCCTAATAGGTTTTAGTTAAATGAGGTTGTTAAAGACTGGGAGAGTCATTGCCTTAAAGAGAACATGAGTTTGGTAGAATGCCTATTACCAAAAAGAAGACCCAGCCGTGGTGGTGCACTCCTGTAATCCCAGCAACTCAGGAGGCTGAGGCAGAAGGATCGCAAGTTAAAAGCCAACCATAGCAACTTAGCCAGACCCTGTCTCAATAAAAAGGGCTGGGGATGTGGCTCAGTGGTAAGGAGCCCCTGGATTCTGTCCCCAGTACCCAAAAATAAGAAACCGTTGACGACAGAAATACTTGAAAGACTTATGTAGAATATTAGCAACAGTGAAAACAGCCACGTGAAGAGAGTAAAGACTGGTATATGTTAAAATTACATGTTATGGAAAATAAAGGAATGGGATACAAGTATTTTTCACAGGGGGAATTCTATCATTGACCTAGATCACCAGCCTCTTTTGTTTTTCTTCCACGTTTATCTTTTAAATTTTGAGATGGTCTCCCCAGGTTGGCTTTGAATTTAGAATCCTCCCCTCTACTGAGTTAGGGATGCAAGTGTAGATTTAGGCTGGCATGGTAGGGTGCACCTGTAATCTGGCGGCTTAAAAGGCTGAGGCAGGAGGATAAGTGTGAGGATCAAGAGTCCAAAGCCAGCCTTAGCAACTTAGCAAGGCCCTAAAGCAAAAGTTTTAAATGGCTTCTCCAAGGGGATGGGGTTGTGGTTCAGTGATAGAACACTTGCTGACATGTGAGGCATTGGGTTCAATTTTCATCACTGCATATAAATAAATGAATAAAACAAAGGTCCATCGACATCTAAAAAATATTTAAAAATAAAAAGTCTTCTCCAAGAAAATAAAATTTCAGCAAAGATCTAAAGGTGAGGGTTGGGGTTGTGGTTCTATGGTAAAGTGCTTGCCTAGCATGTATGATGCACTGGGTTCGATTCTCAGAACCACAAATAATATAAAGGTCCATCAAAAACAAAATATTTTTTTAAAAGATCTAAAAGTGAGCAGAGAGATCTGGATATGTGGGGAAGGAGCAAAGTTAATGGTCTTAAGGTAGTAGCATACCTGGAATGTTAGAGAAAAAATGACAAAAAGAGCTGGGTGCTGCTGGGGAGGGAGAGGAATGGATGCTTTCAAGAATGTAGAGGTCTGGGGTTGTGGCTCAGTGGTAGTGTGCTCATCTAGCATGAATGAGTCATTGGGTTCTATCCTCAGCACCACATAAAATGAAAGAGATTGTGTCCACCTAAAACTAAAAAAGAATGTAGAGCCAAGTTTTGTTTCTACCAGGGATTGAACCCAAGCGCACTTAACCACTGTGTCCCTAGCATGTTTGAGACAGGATCTCAATAAATTGCTTTGGGGCCTTGCTGAATTGCTGAGGCTGGCTGAACTTTTGATCCTCCTGCCTCGGCCTCCCGAGCTGCTGGGATTGCAAATGTATACCACTACACCCACCAAGACAGATTTTTTTTAGAAAGCAGAAACTGACTGGGCAAGGTGGCACGTGTCTGTAATTCCAGCCACTGGGGAGGCTGAGGCAAGAGAATCACAAATTCTATGTCAGCCTAGCAGCTGAGGCAGGAGCATTGCAAATTCAAGACCAACCTCAGCAATTTAAGTAAGACCCTAAGCAACTTAACAAGACCCTGTCTCAAACAGAGGGCTGGGTATGGTGCTCAGTGGTTAAGCACATCTGGATTCAAGGCCCAGTACAAAAAAAAAAAAGAAAAACATTGACAAAAATAAAAAAGGATTGGGAGTATCGTTCAGTGTAAAGTGCCCCTGGGTTCAATCTCTGGTACCAAAAAGGGGGAAAAAAAATGCTGTCAGTAGTAGTAGTTGTGTGTACACGCACACACACACGTATAGATGAGATGCTAAGTTTAAAGACTATATTAGGTTTATGACTACTCAATACAGAAACAAGGTATTTCTGGACCTCCACTATTTGTAACCTGTAGTATTGAAATTTATTTTTGGGGGGCGGCGGGGAGTACTGGAAATTGAACTCAAGGGTGCTTAACCACTGAGCCACATCCCCAGCCCTTTTTAAGATTTTATTTAGAGACAGGGTCTCACTGAGTTGTAAGTGCCTCCCTAAGTTGCTGAGGCTTGGCTTTGAATCATCCTCCTACCTCAGCCTCCCTAGTCCCTGGAATTATGCGCCACCACAACCAGCTACTATTGAAATTTATTAATAACTCACTGGAAGATGAGAAAAACTTGTTTCATTTAGTTCACTTAACTGCTTTGAACAGTGGTTCCTACCTAGTTGTTTTTTTTGTTGTTGTTGTTTTGTTTGTACCAGGGATTGTACCAGGCACGCAACCACTAAGCCACACCCCCAGCCCTATTTTGTATTTTATTTAGAGACAAGGTCTCACTGAGTTACTAAGCGCCTAGCCATTGCTGAGGTTGGCTTTGAACTTGTGATCTTCCTATCTCAGCCTTCTGAGCCACTGGAATTACAGGCATGCGCCACTGCACCGGGGCCCTACCTAATTTTTATTTGGATCATGGAGTCCTTAAATCTGGGAAAGCTGCAATCTGTTTTCCAGGAGAAAGTGCACCTGTTGAACAATTTTTTGTATATGAGTCATTTGGATTTTAAATTTTTTCTACAAAAAATATAACCAATATTGGTTACCCTGTGGAGTACTAGTCTAGAAAGGGGTTTGGAGAAAACCAATAAAATAACTTAATTCAAGGTTATACCCTTCTGGGGTTAAAAAAAAAAAAAAAAGCTGCTACCAGCTAGTGTGGTAGTAGGTATCTGTAATCCCAGCGTTAGGGAGGCTGAAGCAGAAGGATCTGGAGTTCAAGCCAGCTCAGGAATTTATCGAGGTGCTAAGCGATTCAGTGAGATCCTGTCTCTAAATTAAAATACAAAATAGTGCTGAGGATATGTCTCAGTAGTTGAATACCCCCTGAGCTCAATCCCTGATACCAAAAACAAAATGACAAGACAAAAAAAAAAAAAAACCTCCTACCAAGTAAATAATAGACATACCCCATGGACTCAAGAAAAATTTTTATTTTGTCCAGGGGTGGGAGTACTTTACCACTGAGCTACATCCCTTGTCCTTTTTGAGACAGGGTCTTGCTAAATTGCTGAGACTGACCACAGATTTTAAATCCTGCCTCCATGTCACTGGGATTACAGATGTAATCTGTAATTACAGTGCCACCAGGCCTGTCAACATCTTGAGAACTTTTATGCACAAATACATATTCTTTTGCTGTGATGGCAATTAAAAGTATAGTATTTGTAACATGAAATAAGGTTCTTAAAAATATTTTGCACCTAAAAGGTGTAGATGGACACTACACAATACCTTTATTTTTATATGGTGCTGAGGATTGAACCCAGGCCCCGCCCATGCTAGGTGAGCATTTTACCACTGAGCCACAATCCCAGCCCCTGAAATAAGGTTTTATTTGAAATATGCTGACCTCTGATATCAAACATTGGGTTAATTTGAGGGCATGAATTTTTTTTCTTATCCAACTGATCTGAAATTAAATGGTCAAAATTAGTACCTTTTTCTAAACTTTGAATTCAGATATTGATATTAAAAGGTCACATGAAAGATGACTCCATCAATGGGAATAATGAATACAGAAAAAAAGGGTCTAAGTAGCTTCCAGAAATTTAACACAACAAAAATGGAATAAAAGCCTGCCAGTTTATACTCCAACCATATATTAAACAGATGGAGGCTTTTTTTTTTTAACAAAAGATTGTTAACTAAAAATAAAGAAACACAAATATTCTGAGTTTCTACCACAAAATGATTTCAAAATGAATTTAAGGAAATTTTTAAACATAACTGAACAGTAAAAATACTCATGAAACATGGAAAGTAGGTGACAGGTTAGTACAAAACAATGTTTAAGTATTCACAGGCTTCTATAATGAGTAGTCCAAGTACATCTCCCCATGGTCTAACCCAGGAATAAGGGTTCATGTGTGCAATATTCACAATTAACTAATACTGCTTATTTATGCATAAATTTGAGAAACTCCTTTGATACAGGGAGTGTACTATATGTTGCCTGTTAAATGACAATGTAGTACATTGGTAAATTGACATACCCTTGGGAAAATGATCAGAGTGGGCCTAAGTAGACCTATCCTACTTTCCCCTAAGGGAAACAAGCATGGACACTGGTAGAAGCCACCAGATTTAGAATATAGAGAGTATGGCTTCAATTACTGCTTAATTTGGGAAAATTTGAAGTATAAATATAAGGAGAAATTGGAAGGTAGTGTTTATTGGATATAGAATTTCAGTTGGAGATGAAAAAGTGCTAGAGGTGGTTGGTGGTGATAATTGTGCAATGATATGAATATACTGAATGCCACAGAACTATATTACAAATTATTTCAATGGTATATCGAATTACAATATCTTAAGTATGTGTAGCCAAAAAATGAAACAGATCCACAAATAGGCTGGGGATGTGGCTCAAGCGGTAGCGCGCTCTCCTGGCATGCGTGCAGCCCGGGTTCGATCCTCAACACCACATACAAACAAAGATGTTGTGTCCGCCGAAAACTAAAAAATAAATATAAAAAAAATTTCTCTCTCTCTCTCTCTCTCTCTCTCTCTCTCTCTTTCTGTCTCTCTCTCTCTCTTTAAAAAAAAAAAAAGATCCACAAATAACT